GAAAACATTCGAACATCGATTCATGTTCGAACGTCCTCCACAGATTACCTTCAGAGTATTTGATTTTCATGGGTGATAAACACTATTCACTCATCCCCTCTTATCTCCTAACCCCTCCCCTTCCTTGCCTATAAATACTCCCTTGTTGGGAGCTTAAAGGGCGTCCTTTTCATTGTAAAACAGAGAGCTCTTCTTCTTAGCAATTTTTCTTCTCTTGTAAATTGGAAAGTTAGTTTGTATACATTGTTTGTTTCATTTTAGTATCAACCATGTTGGAGGCTTAGCCTCCCCTTGTAATTGAAATCTGTCATTTATTTATATTAAGTCTTTACGTTTACGTTGTGACAACCATGATGGAGGCTTAGACTCCCCTTGTAGTTTTACTTGCTTTTATTTACAAGTATCAAGAGAGATAGCTCATCTTTTGGTTGTGGTGGAAACCCTCCAAAAGTAACTAGCTTTTTTTTACTTTTATTGTTCATGTATTTCACTTCCATTGCTTGAACATCCTTATTTCTTAGAAGAGTGAAACTCTTTCACTTTTCTAGAGCTTTACCAAAGCCGTGAAGGGTGGAAAGTGATTCACTTATTCTTCATTGAAGATAAGCTCTTTGTTTAGTTTGCTTCACTTAGTAGCTCCTCTACTTGGAGGGATGAGTATTATTCACTTTTCTAGCTTTGTCAAGGCCATGAAAAGTGAGTAGTTCCTCATTCACTCTTTAGTAAGAGGTGATGAACATGTAAAGATTATTCAGAAGTTATGTTTGTGCAACTCCTTTACGCTTTAATGCTTTATATTTCACTTGCTCATTGGATGATTGAATGCATCTAGCAAAGATGAGGTACTTTATATAACCAAGGGCTCCCTCTATGATACGGATGACTCTTGCATAGAAAGACCCGTTGGTTTAAGGTAAGCACCCCGACTAGCTCTTCATGACAACCTTTCAATCTCTACTATTATTGTGCTTTATTCAAAAGATGGACCATTAATGCCATGGTTGGATGCCTTGTAGAAACACTGTTTGTATACGGGTTAAGTCTCGGCACAGACAATTCTTGTAAACTTCTAGAAAGGCATCAGAATCACATGCTTAATTCTCATAGTCCATCTTTATCTTCTGATTAATTTGCTGTTGGCACGAGTGTTAATTGAGTTATAAAACACAAACATAATAAATTGGATAGTCAATTATATGTCCTAATCCTTGAACTAAAGGGTGGTTGTTACATTTTTGAGAATCTTATATTTTGTCTAGAAAAGTCTTGAAAAGAATCTTCTATTCTGTTCAAGAAACCCCATCACTCCAAACTCTCAAAATTTTCAGTTACTTGGTCTCTATTATTGCTTACTTCAAAACACCAATCATAGTTCCCTGTGGATTCGACTCCGAACTTAACCGGATTATTACTACAACTTGACCGCCTGCACTTAGGAGTACACATTTCGGATCAAGTCAAGAATTACATATGATAAAGATAAATATCAACAAATTCTATCATCATCTATATTTATCCAAACAATCTAGATATCAATAGCCTCTTTGGATCCTATTATATCTCTACTAGATATTGATGGATTTCTTCTAAGCCTATCGTATCTCTAATAACAATCCCATTGAGGTTTACTTCACTTTGGCCCAAGGATCGATGGAGGCTGTGGGATAAGTGCATGTTAATGAAAGTAGATGTTGTTACTCCCAAATGGTTGCCAAGCAAATAAAGCTTAGCAATCGTACACCTTGAAGTGCTAAAACAAAACGAGCGGTGTCAATACCACCCTCAAGCTCATGGAATGCACTAATATACGTGTGTAATCATTAGGTCCTGCACAAAAGGAAATAAAAGATACAAATAATCATATTTGTAAATAAAAATTCATCAAATAAAACAATGAATAATACCAATAGGTTTGTGATGCAACCTATCGACTTCGATAAGTGGTTTGGATCATGCGAATGGATGAGAAAATCATATGCCTCTTTTACAAGGATATGATCCTGCCACTACTCCCACCTATCAATGAATGCTCCCTGAAGTACTCTCCAATTATGTTTGTATCTCCTCTGTATGCCCGTAGGATAAAGCTCCCCACTAATTTTACATTACCCCGATATACCCTGCCTAAGGCCAAACTGTCACGAATAGATTCAAAAAATGGCTATTGATTATCAAGAAACAGATAAATGATTATCACATTATTTAGATCTCCCGACAATCAAGGCAATATGTTAGTAAGTGGAAAAAAGGTCTACTATATAGGGTTTGCATACCATCTACAATAATAACAATAAATAATAAAATTAAAAAAAAAAAAAAGCAAACTTGAAAAGTATGTACATAAGGAGCACATTATTTGACTATTAATAACTCTATTATAACTTTTTACATCAATGCGACTGAATAAGCCACCAATGTCAGATCCATCAAGCTTGGTGGAATGACACATCTCACAGTATAGACACGCCATTCTTGTACTATCCCCAACTAATGCTCTATATAGAATCCAAATCCTCACAGAAACTGCACATTACTTTGCTAATTGTCTTGAAAGGGCATCCTGAGTAATGACAAAATGTAAAAGTGGGCATAACACTCCAACATTGAATTGTTAGCATCATAAGCCCCCAAAGCACTGAGCCTATATTTAGATCCATTGGTAGAAATTGTAGATGGTGTGAATTCGAGGAAGTCTATAACATATATGTTGCCACTCTAACACGACATATTATATTACTTGGATTGTGACACAATCATTGTCAACAGATAGGCCCAAGAGTATAGCCAACTTGTGTAACGGTGTTACCCCCTTAGTTTTTGGCTCAACATTGGCATGGGGTAGCTTCTCCCAAAAGCACACATGCCTCAGACAAATTGGGATTTTCTTGGTGAAGCAAACCCTTAGAGTAAAGTTGGCTTCCTAAGGATTTGGACTTGTGTTTTGTTGAGTTACTAAGTGGTTTGGTGAAGGCTCAAGTGGCATACACCGACTATGTCCCAGGCTGAAGTCATTATGACTTCTCAACTTAGAGTACGTCCATTGTTGTCAATAGGTTTTTGCTCACTAACACTATTATAGGGGGGTGCTCTACGAAAGGGGTGCTAGGCCAGCTTCCCTAGTGACCCCTATGCCCGTAACCCTTGGCACACGAAAGTCAGACACAACCTTAACAAATGCTTGCCATGGGTGGGGGCAAGGCATTCAAAATTCTGAAACCCGAGGTATGGAGCTAATGATCGATGGCACTCATAGTTGACGGAAGCCCCATGTATGGCTGAGGGAGGTAGCACATGCATGGGCACGTTGGGCATGATCAAATGGGATGATTGATGCCCCTTACATGGCTGAGGGAGGAAGCTCATCCATGGGCACGTTGGGCAACCCCAATGGGTGTATGGCTGGAGAATGTAACTCATGCATGGGCACAAGAAAACATGCAAATAAGACAAGTTAGTGGGCTTGAATTGTGGGGCAATGCTAGCTTGGAAGACCAAGCCATGGCTAGACATGGATTGGCACGAAGGCAAGGCTAATTAGGTGATGTGGGCTTGCAAGGAAGGCAAGTGCACAACATGTGAGGTAGTTCTGAGCAGTTAGTCATGTACACTGCAGAAGGTGGTGGTTCTAGACAGTTGTTGGCATGTGTATGACATGTAGGGCAGTTCTGTGTAGTTGTTGGCATGTGCACAACATGAGGGAGATGCTGGCATGTGGATACAATAGTTGTGGGCAGTTGCTGGCTAGGTCAGCCAACAGTTGTAACTATTCCTTGCCATAATCAACATATGTGGGAGAGGCAGAGGGACTGAGCCATGGTTAGCTAATTGTAGCGAACTTTATGGGCAAATCTGATGTTGCTTTGCATTGCCTAGGTTGTTGGGCTTGTAATCGCCACTTTATATGCTATTTATAGGCATGCTTGGGTCTGCAGTGCAACCAAGAGAGTTGGACATGTTTTGTAAGCAAACCTATAGCTAGGTTTCCTTAAAACTTGCTTAGAAGTAAAAGGTTTGGTCATTTGGCATGAAATTTGTGTGTGCCTGCTGTGAGTTATGTGCTTGCCCATATTATATTCATTGTGTGCATTTCTATGAGCAATTATTTTTCATTGATTGAGACTGAGTGTTGGATCTCAGTGCTATCACGAGGTAGAAATTTTGAGAGAGATTTTACCCCATGACAGTTGGTATCAGAGCTATAGTTTTCAATCATGACTGGTGAAAACGTTGCTGAATTACGTGAATGTGTGACACATCTAGAGGATTTTCTAGGTGCCCATGTTGGTGATGCTGAAACTAGTGTGTCTGTGCAAATGGAGCAACATACCATCCAGATTATAGGCTTGAGATTGGCTTTCGATAGTTATATGAAAGACATCGATGCTAGGATTGCAACGATGATGGGGGATGTTTAGTCCCTCACAGATGCTGTCAAGACCAATCTCAAGAATCTCAAAAATGAACTGACCTTATTGAAAAGAGCCATGCTTTCTAGACTTGGTAGGAGCAAGTCATCTTGAAAGATCAAGGTCCCTGAACCTAAGGACATCGGAGGTGTCCAGAGTGCAAAGGAACTGGAAAAATTTCTACGAGGAGTGGAGCAATACTTTAAAGCTGTCCATGTGCCTGCAGGAGAGAAAGTGATCATAACCAACATGTACCTCTTTGGGGATGCCAAACTTTGGTAGGGAACTGGAAGTGAGGATGCTGCTACTGTGAGGCAAGCCAAAATAGAGACATGAGAGATGTAAAAGAAGGAGTTGAAGGATCAATTCCTTCCTAGCAATACAATATGGATGGCTAGGAGTCGCTCAAGAAATTGAAGCACATGGGAACCGTTCACGACTATGTGATAGAGTTTAGTTTTTTGATGCTGGATATCAAGAACATTTTTGAGGAGGACAAGCTCTTTAATTTTATGTCCAGTTTGTAAGGTTGGGCATAGGTTAAGTTGTGCAGGTAAGGGGTGCGTGATTTGCACATTGCCATTGTTGTTACAGATGACCTGGTTGACTTTAAAATCAGAAACAATCAAGGGCCTTTCGAAAAGAAAAAAATGGGAAGGTGGTGACAAGAAAGATCATACTGGCATTTCAAAAAATGTAGAGGCAAATTGGAAGAAAAAGATGAATGGAGGTGAATCCAAAATCCAAACAACAACTAGAAGAAGAGGAAAAACTTCGATTCTAGTTGCTTTATTTACAGCAACCCTTATCATTCCAGGGACTGCCCCTAAGCAGGAGAAGTTGGCTGCCCTTGTCATTGAAAGCAGAGATAATAACAACAATGAATACCCCACTCAGATGAATCCTCTAAAATTGTTGAACGCAATCTCTATGGTAAAAGTTCAACAACNACTCAGATGAATCCTCTAAAATTGTTGAACGCAATCTCTATGGAAAAAGTTCAACAACCCTGTAAGAGCCTTATATTTATGTAGGCTTGGGTGAATGGGAAAGAAGTTCTAGCTGTGGTGGACATGGGTGCCACCCATAACTTCATTACACAGAGGGAGGTGGGAACATTTGGCAGAGAACTCTAGCAAGTTCAAGACTGTCAATTTGGGAGCAATTCCAATGCGTGGCAACGTAGAGACAAGCTTCAAAGTGGGTCTATGGGAAGGTTGGGTGTGCATGACAGCTATACCCTTAGACGACTTTGATGTCATCCTTGGGAACGAGTTCTTCATAAAGGCCAAGGTGGTGTTGATGCCACATTTAAATGGGATGCTAATCTCAGATGAGGGAACAACGTACTCTGTGCTTGCAAAGGTGGCAGAACAAAGCAAAAGAGATGGCAAGTGAAAAATGAAAATGTTGTTCGCTATGCAAGTGGATTCTAGGTTGCAAGAAGGCGAGATGACATATCTCTCGACCTTGGTGGAAAATAAACCTAGTGTAAAGATTGAAATGCCTGGTTTGGTGACGGAAATTTTGGAGGAATATATTGAGATTATGCCTCCAAACTTCCTAACACCCTTCTGCCCGGATGTGGAGTTGACCATAAATATGAGTTGGAGCATAGTGCAAACCTTCTAGCTCATGTGCCTTATCGGATGTTGGTTGTGGGACAATAGTTGTTACTTGCCTATGGAGGGGTGAGACAGAGGACCAGATGTTCTGCTGCATAAGGGGTTTCTCTTTCTAAGCAAGGATTGCTTGACGAGACAAAACACCGTTTGGTCAAAGCTACATGTCAAAGGAAGAAGATTGTTGATCCTGATCAGATCAAGGAGAATTGGGACAATTCTCGATGAGGACGTTGAGCTCTTCTGGTGGGGGTGGTTTATTACCCCCTTAGCTTTTGGCTCGGAATTAGCATGGGGTTGCTTGGCCCAAATGCGTCCATGCCTTAGCCAAATTGGATTTCTCTTGGTGAAGCAAACCCTTAGTGCAAAGTTGGCTTCCTAAGGATTTGGACTTGTGTTTTGTTGGGTTACTAAGTGGTTTGAAAAAGGCTCAAGTGGCATACAACTACTATGCCCCAGGCTCAAGTCATTATGAATCCTCAGCTTAGAGTACGTCCATTGTTGTCAATAGGTTTTTGCTTATTAACGTTATTATAGGGGGATGTTACGTGAAGGGGGTGCCAGACCAGCTTCCCTAGTGACCCCTATGCCCCTAAGCCTTGGCACACGAAAGCAAGGCACGACTCCAACAAATACTTACAATAGGCGGAGGCAAGGAATTTCAAAGTCTGAGACCCGAGGTGTGGGGTTGATGATCGGTGAGACCCGTCGTTAGCGGAAGCCCTATGAATGACTGAGGGAGGGAGCACATGCATGGACACGTTGGGCATGACCAATTGGGTAGATTGAAGCCCCTTGCATGGCTGAGGGAGGTAGCTCATGCATCGGCACAACTAGTGGCTTGATTGAAGCCCCATGCATGGCTGGAGAAGGTAGCTCATGTATGGGCACGTTGGGCACAAGTAAGCATACAAGCAAGACTAGCCGGTGGGCTTGAATTATGGGGCAAGGTTTTCTTGAGAGACAAAGCCATGGGCTGGGCATGACTTGGCACAAAGACAAGACTAATCAAGTGTTGTGGGCTAGCAAGAAAGGCAAGTGCACAACATGCGAGGTAGTTCCGAGCAGTTGAGGCATTGCAGATGGTGGCGGTTCCAGACGATTGCTGGCATGTACATGACATGCAAGATAGTTCTGTGTAGTTGCTGGCATATGCACAACATGAGGGGAAATGCTAGCATGTGCACACAACATTTGTGGGTTGCTACTGGCTGGGTTGGCCAACAATTGCACTTGCCCCTTATGGATCCGAGCTTGAGCCCGAGCCTAGCAAGCTTGTTTTTTTAAATGAGTCTAAAATATTGTTCAAACTTGACTCATTTAGCACTCAAGCTGAGCCCAAGCCGAACTCGTGTTGAGTCTAAGTAGCTAAACTATTTTACATATAAATGAACCAAACTTTGCTAGCTTAAGTTGAGCCTTTTAGGCTCGTTTAGAAAAACAAACCTAAAAAATTGTTTAAACTCGCTCGTTTAGAACGCAAGTCGAGTTTGAGCCGAATTTTATTTGAATTGAACTCGAGTACCTCGACTCAATTAACACCCTTATCCCCATGGTAGTGTCGCACTGAGTGTCTAGAATCATACTCATCGACACTGCATCCTCGCTAATGAAGCACGTATAACAGAGGACTACATGACAGATCAGGATTGTCAAAAGTTGTGCTAATCGGACACAATTAGGGTTGATTTTTGCAACAGTGTCAAAATTTAGCAAAAGGTTTCATTCAAAAAAAAAAAAAAAAAACTCTCAATGAACTGAACAAGATTGAAGTTTTTGCCTCCAATTTAGTCATTTTTAAGCAAAGNGTCAAAAGTTGTGCTAATCGGACACAATTAGGGTTGATTTTTGCAACAGTGTCAAACTTTAGCAAAAGGTTTCATTCAAAAAAAAGAAACTCTCAATGAACTGAACAAGATTGAAGTTTTTGCCTCCAATTTAGTCGTTTTTAAGCAAAGAAACGACGTTTACGACACTTTTTAGTCATTTTTCTATTTTTATTCAATTATTTGAGGTATATTCATAATATTGTGTATTCACCTAATTTTTCTAGTAATTTAGGACCTTTAGAATTTTTTATTTATATAGTGGTGAAAACATATTCAGTAGTTCTTGATTATTTTGAATAAAATGCAAAGACGAGTTCTCTTTAAATTGTAATTCTCTTGTCATTCTTAAAAATCAACCGGATTCTTGAAGATTATAATATGATATTTTTCCCATGATCAACAGATTATAATTAATATTGTCTGGTCGAATTTTTTTTTTTTCATGCTTCCCTGCGCTTTCACATGCGAAAGCATCCAAATCAGAATTGATTGGAGATGGGTGCAGAGATCCACAAGACCTATACACTGATTCTTCCATAGTATTCTTTATCGATATAGTTCAAGCTCTGACAATATTTTTTGAGTACTTTATTGACCTCACGTCAGAAAAATAATCAACAATGGCCACCAAGTTTGACTGAGATAGAATATGCCAGGGCCGACTAGAAAAGCAACCAACCCGCCATCACACACACCCTACAAAGATGTCCAAACTGAGAGTCTTTAGGTTCTTTACGTTCGTGTGTGTTTTTGAGCTTTTTTTAAAGGTTTTTTTTAAAATTGCGGACTGTAATATCTTCAAATTATATTAAAAAAATTAGTTTAGTGAGGGAGATATTCGTGATGGAAAGTGAAAAGTAAAATTTTAAAAAAAAGAAAATAAATTAAAAGAAGCGAAAGTGAAAATAAAAGATGAAAAGAAAAAAATTAACAATTTTGTTTTTCTATTTACGTAAATTGGCTTTGCCCATTTTGAATTTTGACATGATTAATTCAGTTATCCTAAATATATATTCTTTAAAAACAAACAAACAATGCTGACATTTTTAAGGGCAAAAACTATTATGTAAGAAGTTTACAAGTCAAGAAGGTTAGAACTTGGACAATACAAAAATTTGTACAATATGACACGTGAGTCTGAGAATGAATATATATATATTCAGAAATAGAGTACGAGCATAATTGACAAAACAGCTCCTGTGAAATAGTAAATTATACGAATCACTTTCATGGAAAACTCTTAGCTTTCTTATGCTTTTAGCCTAAACAATATAATTTTACCTGTGAGAAAATCCATCCAAATTCAAGAAACCGCGTATCTACTTTTCATTTCTTCTAACTAAACATTTACGAAATTGGATTTTTCTGTTTTGTATTTTCTAATATTCTCCATCTAACCAAAGGGACTCAAAGGATTAAACTAGTAACTAAGTACTTTTGGTCTCTTTGTTGGCACATTTAAGTGATAACTAATCAACTAACTAAAATGTTAATCAAATTTTTATTTGGCCATTCAAAATCCAGAGAACAATTGTGCATGGTAATGGGATGATTAAAAAGCCTCTCTGCTTTTCTTGGATGAATTTGTTTTGCGGGAATACATAGAGAGCGTAGGATCTCAAAAAATAATCAAGCATTCAAAATAATTTCACACAAAAAACAATTAATCAAAGTCCAAGAACCAAAACAAGAAAATCAAGAAAACAAAATGGGCTACGGGTCTTGATAAAAACCTATTAGCTACTGTTCTTGATAAATCCAGAATGGGTTATATAATTACAGCTTCCAAGGAGTCCAAGAAGCCTCCAAAACTACATTTAATAAACTAATCCTAATTATACTATTACTATGCCACAAGTCACCTATTCTACTTCTAATAAATTACTCCAAAGCTAACTGAATACTAATAACAAAATAAATGAAGTGTTGGACACTAGGAGGGTTTGGATCAAATTTCACCAGCTTCTTTTGGACCAAACTCTTCAACCTTGATCATGTCCATCATCTACTTTACAAAAAATCTTTGTAGGAATTTTCTTTGTATGTTACAAAAATTCAAGCATACAACACAACCACACCACCTAGGTAGTGCTAGTGGGGTGTGTTTGGATAGCTAGATTGGATAGGGTAGGATATCTTTTTTTATATCCTAACCAATCCAATCCAAACCCACTCATCCACTTAAAATCCAAGGTTAGGGAGTATAATCCAAGGTTAGGGAGTATATCTAATCCAAACATTTGTTTGGGAAACAAACGTGTAATTTTGTGGGCCCTATAGATTACACCAAATATTTTGTAATAGTTTACCATTCTATCCATGACTCTATCCAATCTAATCCAATCATATCCTATATTTGGATTGGTGGCTTATCCTAACAACATTAAACATTTTTCACATATACATAATAACATATATACATTAAAATATTTATATATTTTTATTAGTAGCAAATTGAATAATTGATATAAGGGTAGACCAT